TTTGATCCATTGGTACTAATTCACTTCAAAATTATTTTATTTTGGTACTATAAATGTTTTTATGATTTTTTTACAAATTTTTTCAGAATTTGAAAATTTTATTTTTGCTGTAAGTTTTTGAAATTTCAGAACTCAAGTAGGCACATGTAGGGACCAAGGATCCAGCCCCCACATGTATGTGCCACGCATGTGTGGGGCCCACGTCATCTCCTATGATGGCATGCCCCATTTTTTTTAAATTTGCCATGAATATTTTAATTTTAAAATAGATTTGATTTCCTATTCAAACGGGAGTTTTAAAAATAAATATTATCTTTTGACTTCCTAAAGATTATGGAAGATCTACATAATGCTAAAAGTGGTTATTATTTATATTTCAAATTGAAGTTGGACTTGGGTTAAATTATAAGCGAATAAGGTTCCCAATTTCCACCGAAAATCATGATGGCTGATTTGTGCGATGGATGGCTCTGATTCAATCTCTCATCGTACAAATTTCCTAATTATCCTGAATGTCAAGCAAGAAAGTGAGATAAGGCATACCTAGATGATATCTTGCTGCAAGTAGGAAATAGATTTTATTCTCTTTAAACTTGTTTGAACCTTTCCAAAAATTATGACAAGCCTCACTCTCTCTCTCTCTATCACGCCATTGTCTCTCTCTCTTTCACGCCCAAGTTTACTCTCCCTTTCACGCCCCTAATTTTTCCTCTCTCGCACATGCCATATTCTTTTCTCTCATGTTCTTTCATGCCACCTAAACAAGAAATTAGAATAAGGGGGTGGCAAGTGAAACCCTAAATTAAGGTTTACTGTATTTATGACGAAAGAAGGCAGATGCCCAACCTAGAGAGAGATCAACTCATCAATTCAGCCCTAATTTTTTGCTCTAGGGTTTCTATAAACCCTAGTTAAGTTTTTGAGCTCTATAAAATCCTAGATTGAAAGGTATTACCTGTAGAGCTTTTCCATCTCAAACTTTCCAGCAACATCTAAAGGACTAAAAGTGCGCCATCGATCAAGGAATCAGGTGCGGGGTGAATCAAGACCTGTGAGGGTTACTCCAGGCACCTTCTAATAAGTCTTCCCAATAGATTTAATTATTTTTCAGTCATATTTCATTTTCTGTGAATTTCACAGAATATATATTATACTCAAAGCTATAGTGGAAGATTGTTTATTGTTCTTGGATGTTTTATTTGCTTTGGCATTGAAAGTAAAGATCTTCGGCTGTGTCGAGGGTATGAATTTTGATTTACAACAACATGTTGAGTGGAATTCAAGTATATTGAATAAAAGAAAAGAAATTCTTTGTATTTAATACTTTGATTTCCACATAGCCACTCCTTACAGTTCAGACTTTTTGTAGAAGTATCTTCCACTTGCTCATTTGTGCCAACAAATTTTTCAACTGTTCTTTGTCTTCAATTTTGTCTCTCACAAAGTGCTGATTTTTCTTGACGTGTTTGGTCTTACCATGAAGCACTGGCTTCATGGAGATAGTTATCAAACTTTAATCGTCACAGTGTGGATAGATACTGCATAATTTGAGACCAAGAACCATAACAAGACTCATTATCCATGTAATTTCAGAAGTGACTGCTGCGATTGCCCTATACTCAACCTTTGTGCTTGATCGTGTCACTTCCTTTGTTTCTTGCTACCCTAGGAAACCAAGTTGCTGCCCACAATGACCTTTAGCTGAATCTAGTACCTGCGTCCCTAACCTAGATTGCATCTAAAGACGTTATTGTTGGGTTTTTTATGGCAATTTAAAGGCCTTATGAGAGCATGTAACCAAATTTGCTATAGTGGAACAATAAACTCTAGTGGGAGTATCGTCTAGAACCGAGGTTGGTAATATTGTTTGCCGAGACTCAAACTAGGTTTGACAAGCTAGGCCGGTTGAGTCCCCAAATACTTAGGCATAAAGCACAATCGATAAGGGTTAGCAATGTTATACCTTGATGAGGTCGGAGTTGCCCAAGGTAGTGAGCCTAGGGACTGTGTGATCCTTGTGTGTAGTTGGTAGGCCTGTAGGGACTAAGGCCAAAGCCTCATCATATACCATCACATGTCATGTATACATGATACCCATATCGGAAAGCAAATCACCATTGAGGGTTAGACATGTACATGTGCGAGAGATGACCCTCAAATGCATCATATGAGTTGTGTGTGCATAGGTTTGTGTGACCTTGGACTTGCCCCTAGGGGGAACTTGTAATCCACAACTAGGATTGTCTCCTCTCACCTATTGGCTGAGTTTGGTAGCCCAATTATGAACACCCTGTGATGGACTGTGGGTCTTGAGAACTACTGGGTCAGTTTGAGAAAGTGGGTGTCGATCATAGTCTCTAGTAGAAGATGGAGTGCTTCAATAATTTATGATATTCCTTAACATAGTTGGATCCAAATCCCAACAAATTTATTTAAAATTAATTATTTTGATTTTATATAATTTTTAGATTAATAGAATGAATTTTTAGAAGTCCCTGGGTATTTTATTTTCTCAAAATGAATTTATAAATTGGCTAAAACTGAATTTTCAGTATTTGGTAAATTAGAGAGAATTAATGTAGCAATCATTTTCTCTATTTTAAAATTAATAGTACCCATGGGGGCCCATTATTTCCATGGGCCCCATTAGATAAATTGCATGCGGGTGGTGCGTGGGGCCCACTTGTGGCCCCCATGAGGGGCACGCCCCACACATTGATATACTTTCCTATTTTATGAGGCTGTAATATGCCATCTAAGAGATTTGAATTGAATAGGAAGGTTTTTGCAATTAAAGAGACTTAAGTTTTCAAATAAAGCATGTGTAAGAAATTTACAAAAAAGAAAGGAAAGATAAATGGGCAAGGTTTCTATACTTCCCCTACAGCATAGAAGAACTATCCTCCCCTTACCATCCAGTCGTCCAATTTTGATCAAGAGAGCCACTCACCGTTTGATTCTTAGATCCGACGTCTCAAAGTATTTTATTTTTAGTTTATTTTATACAAATTGTGTGAATATGAAATTTGGTACGTGCCATCTTCTCATTGGGGCGCACCTATAAAAAATATTAAAAATAAATTTTCGATAAAATATAATGACCAAAATACCCCTTGAAACTTTCAGGGGTATTTTCATCATCTTATTTTATTGGAAATATTTTTTTTTATACTTTTCGCTTGGACATCCAAAATTTGGTGTCAAAATAGTTTATAGAAAAAAAATTAAAAATAAAATAGTGTAGAGACGTGACATTGTGATTGGGGCAATCTTAGCCCTCCATTCAGAATGGACGGTTGGATAAGGGGAAGTATATAAGTTTTATGCTGTAGGGGAAGCATAGAAGACTTGCTCCAGATAAATATATTTTTCATATTATATATATTTGATGGGATTAAGTTAAGGAAGTTGAAGGAGAAAGTTCTAGCACCTTCATTTTAATCATGATGGCTGATTCAAGGATTGTAAGGCTAAGATCTCTCACCCCAATGTCTCCTATGATCAATGGTTTGGATCTATTCTCCATAAGGATGGCTTTCCCTAGAATACCCTGACTTTGAGTGTGACTCTATAAATAGTCGCTATGAGGGGTCCTAAATCTCTACACTTTTACCTATCTCTCTTTCTCTCTCTCCCTCCCTCACAATGTGGTATGCCACTCTCTCTCTCTCTGATCTCTCTCTAAACCTCTCTAAGAGTTAGAAATATTTTTGTAAGAAAAAGAAAGTGGCGGCACGCCTTAGTTCTTGAGCTTTGAGTAAGTAAGCCCCATGCAAGGGCCTGAGCCTAGTTTTGTTCCACTTTGCTCTCTGTGATTGAAGGGTTCTTAGCGTATGCTTCCCATACTTATAAGATCTGAAAAAGACCTTGATCCCGTGGACCATTAGAGGAGGAGACCCGGAGTGGGGTGTATCAAGTCCAATTGAGGTAATCTTCTGGACTTGTGTTTTCTGTTTATTCAGTTTGTGTTTCTTGATCCTTTCTAAGTCTATTGTATTTTTGAAAATGAAACAAGAGAAAAGTTAAAAACCGCATATACCGTGCTAGTTCACTATGGCAAACTTTTAGTTAAAACCTTAAGGGATTCATATCCTTAAGATTAGTCGTGAAGTAAAGCAGCCCATCATTCGTAATGCCCTTTATGTACCTTAATATTCTCTTGGCATCCTATATGTGATCTCTTATTATACCTGATTGATTGCATACGATATATCAGGTCTTGTGAAGGTGAGATATTGTAAGGAACCAGTTATACTTCCACGTTCTTTTGGATTTGAAATAAATTCCCTAAAACTTTCATTATCTCCCAATCTCCTACTCAAAAACTGTAGATCCAGAGGCTGGTTTTGCATCTATGATCTTTGTGATTTTTAAAAGGTCCAAAGCATATTTGTGCTGCCCATCCTATCTTTCTTTTGAAATGCATGAAACATTATTCACTGTCTTCGATAAGTTACCTATGAGAAGAATGCCATCTACATAGAGTGGTAGAATGGTGATATCTTTCCATCAGACTAAATCAACAAAGAATGGTCCACTGAAATTCTTTGGAAGCAATACTTCATTACTACTTTACAAAAGCTATCAAACCAAGCTTGATGCCTGCTCTAACTCATATATTATGCGATTTAGTTCGACGTATATGACAGTTTTTCTTTATGCTGGCATTATATATGATGACTGCATCTTTATGAGAGGAGTTTCTTGAATGTGATACTTTTCATAGTTATACCCTTTTGCTCTTATTGTTTGTTACCGAGTAAATTTTCTTTGTATTTCAATTCCATTTGGTGTTCGTGATGGTATGGTTTTATTGCATTTTTGTACTTCATTGTTCCGTAATGCATGGTATGTTCATTAAAATGATAACAAAAACATGAAATCTGTTAATCTCACAGATTATGTGGTTCATATTTAATACTTAATTTGTAATATTCCCAGATTTTTGGTTCATATTTAATATGTATGTCTTTTTAATTATGTTTGCAATACAAATGTAGGGTTATCATGGCGATACATCTGCAACTTTCTTTTGTGGCAATGTTGAAGAGGAAGCTAAGCAATTGGTTGAGGTGCAATTTGTTGGACCCTTTTATTTAACTATTTGACTTATATTGAAGCACTAATTATTCAAACTGATCCCATTTATTGATAAGAACATGTTCCATTCTTGCATGTGATCATAGCTGGCTCTATAAGTCCCTCTAAGAGTACAAATGCCATATTATTAAAGGATTATCTGCCCTTCGCCATGATTGCTACTGATGAAGATCAAGGAACTGTACATTATACAATTACTGTTTGTTCATAGATCTTATGCTTGAAGATTAGTAGAAAAGTTATGAAACTGCCTGTGGACGTCAACATTTACACAGATGAGCAAAGTACTCCTGAAAAACTTTATTATTTATCTCAATTATGGCTAAGACTGCTATACATACTTCCTATTCTGTCAAATAATTAATGGCTTAATAGGATGATAATTTCCGCTGCCCTATGTGCTAAAGTTACTAGGTGTAATTTCCCTAGGTGCAACTCCATAATATGTTTCACTTTCTGAGCTACAAAGGGAGAAGCCATAGAGGACATCATGAATTGAATCTTGTTGTCTTACTCAACTTCATTTCTTTCATCAATATCTCCCTTTAGGTGTCCCATTACCTCATGAGTCAATAGGAGGACAATGGTACACCTGTTCCTGTCTCTAACTGCATTTGTGGCTGCACTTCTCATCAATTTGTTGTGGACCATTTCCTATCTACTTTTCAACTAGCTGTAACACATCGGTAGAGCTAGATCTTGCTGTCTATTGTGCAAGCGATATGTGTAGGACTACCAATCACCATTCGAAAATTTGGCTGGCTGGATGTCTAGCTGGACCCGCCAAGGCGGTCCAAACAGGACATCGAAGTCTTAGGCAGGCGCCCTCGGCACTTGTGCCTAGGTGGCCACGTTGGCAGTCTCAAGGCAAGCACCTCTGCCTGCATTAGATTCTCCTAGGAAAAAAAAGGAAAGTACGAAGAAAGCAAGATAGCTGTCTTGGGAGAGAGGTTCTTTTGTTTAAAGAGAGAATTCGGTCTTTAGAGGGAGAGAGCTTTTATTATAATTGTACTTTTGTTCATTTATTTTGGAGACAAAAAAGTACCTTTTTTATTTTTGAGAGAAATAAAGTGGTTCTTTTATTTAGGAAAAGAGAATTGTCTATAGAGAGATTTTTTTATTGTAGTTGTACTTTATTCATTTACTTTTATGGGGAAAGGTGCCCTTTTTCTATTATGGGAAGAGAGAAAGTATGCTTTTTTCATTAGAGAGAGAATTTGGTCTTCAAAGATGGAGATAGTTTTTATTTTAGATGTAATTCTGTTCATTAGTTTTATCTGGAATCCAGGAGGTTAGAAGATATATTATCTAGAATCTCTATGCCACCAAAAGGTTTCTAAACCGCAAGGTCTCTTGGGAAATGGTATCGAAAATAGGATGTACGAAGATATTTTCCATTTTGTTTATTTATTTTTGTGAGAGCAAAGTACCTTTCTTTAATTTTTGGAAGAGAGAGGGTTCGGTTCTTAAAAAGCGCGCATGTGGCACATTTACACAATAAGACATGCACTTTGCCTTTATGTTAGTGTTTCTTAGTTTATCTATACATGGCATGGCGTTAATATTGCTTTTCTATACAAATCGAAACCATAAGTGGGAGGGAGCCCCCCCCCCCACATACACACACAAATACCCATACAATAGAAAAAAAAAAAACGTTCTCTCTTTTGGGTGACTTGGAATCTAGGGCCTGTCTATGCAGTCGAACGTGAATCCTTGAATGCTGTCACCAACTAGACCCCGAATTTACACACTATAGTGCCCTCTGTGTGAAGCATCTCTACTGTTTTTGTCATAGTTGTTGGGAGCGAGAACAAGAGCGGGTGCGGGTGCAAGAACCCGGGATGGCACTTGACTAAAGTTCCCTACCCTTGGAGGACTTGGGAGTGTTACTCAAGGAGTGAAGCCTAAAGCTCCCTACCATTGGAGGACTTGGGAGCGTTGCTCAGGGAGCGACTTGCGAGCGATCACGTATATGTGAACTACATGTATATGAGAGTGGTCGGCCTTAGATTTTTTCGAAAAACCCCTTTTGAAAACCACGAGATCTTTCTTTTTGTTTTTGATAAAAGAGAGGTGTTTGCTGCGGCCCTTTAGGGTGCGTGCGCGTGTGCACACATGGGTGATCCCGTGCCCTCTAGGATAAGAGTGGGCGGTTTGGTGAAGCGGTTCAAGTCAACAAAAGAAATGTGTAAGGTAAGGCTTACCTCGTGAGGATGGGGTCGGATGCACTTGGGCAGGCTACCCTCTTAAATTCCTGCACCTCGAGCGCCTGCAAAAAGCCCCTTGGCCGTAAGTCGGTGCAGTTTGGAATTGACCTCTTCGCAAGCTTCGGCTTGGTGCTCCCTAGGGAGCTATGCACACTCAAATGGTCTGAGTCGTATGGACCCTTGGGCTTGTCTCTTCGGCTTGGAAAAGATGTGCTTGGATGTGAGTCTTGGTTGGGGTATAAGGCAGGTCTAGGTTGGTTGGTTAGCCTAGATTAGGTTGGGATGGGTGAGCTAGGCTAGTGTGCTATTGCTAGGCTAGATGGCTAACTGGGTTAAGTAGGCTAGGCTAGGCTATGGGGTTAGAGGACCACTCAACAAATCCGCCGACCTTCTGGTGTCACCTTCCTTAGGAGGCACTACCGGCGACATGGGGAAATGGTACTAAGGCTGAGGCCTAAGTGCCCTGGAGACTTGTCAAGGGTGATTGCCAGGACGAACCCAAGTCACGTAACCCAGGCATTAGCCTCCTTAGAGAGTGGTGGGGTAAGGGAGTATGATAGAAGGAGAGACCGACGGTTAGAGGGAGAGACTGATGGCTAGGCAGAGAAACCAGCGGCTAAGTATGGTGTAGGGATATAGGGGTGGAGTATGGGTTGGTGTGCTGTATGGGTTGGTGTGTTGTATGGGTTGGTAGGGAGTATGGGTGGTCGGGAGTATGGAAGGGTATGGTGTAGGGTCTAGGATGGAAGTGTAGGTCAACTAGGGTATATGGTGGGAGGGTATTTTCCCCTAAGCACAGTTTTTTCTCTACTCACTCAAGGGTAGTAGATTTTCAAGAAAGCTCAAAGAAAACTGCACTTTCTCTCTACTAGGTTAAGCCTAGTTTCACTCACAATTTCCAATCTTTTCAAGCCTTTTCAACATTACAAAGTATGTGGTTTATATAGAGGTACCCTTGAAACATGGGTGTACAGGCGAAACTCATGCAATTGAAGAAAAGTAGAATAAAGCAAACTAAGTAGTAATCCCGAAATAATGGAAAAATATAAAAAAGGACCCTTAAAAAACATGCAAATGACATCTAGGTCCCTAAAAAGGAGCCTCTTCCCATCCACATAGCTTGGGGCCTCCTTTTTGGACTTTCTGGTGACGTTTCAGGCGATCTATTGCTTTGAAATTGTAGATCACATCGAGATGATCATTTTGATATAAGATTTGACCAGCGTCCTAGAGTTTTGATTGTTCTTGCAAATTTCACTTTTTTGGTCAACATGCAATTTTCTTTGTCGCTCAATCTTGTTCAAAAATGTCGGTCTTATGGTCTTCTTTTTGTTGGTAAATCGAAAGGGAAATTGCCTTGATTATTTTGCATCAAGAATCACACGATATGACTTCAGATTGACCATTTTGTGTTGTTGGGAAGTTTTCCTACTGGGCGGTGGTCCCTGGACTGTACGGAATCCGTCTAGGCGGCCACCCGATGCCCAGCGCTTGGGGGCCGCCCAGGGCCTGTGCCCCTCCCAGAGGCGGAAATTTTTTGTTTTCATTTTTCTCAAAGATATAACAATTAAGAATGATGACTTTTAGGTCCATTTGAACCCTAAACCCACCAGAACCCCTTTTAGAGTAACAAAAACCAGCAAAAAACTATATATGATTGGATCGAATCATCGAAGTGTTTCTCAAAGTTTGGAGTTCAAGCAATCAAAATAGGTGCATTTTTTAGATTGCTTGTTTTATTTTGAGATGTCTTCTTCAGGAGTTAGTTGGAGTGGAGATCCGGGTTGGAAATATAGATACAACCCGAATCCAAATGACAAAAATTGCGTTAGGTGCAATTTTTGTGAAAAAATACAAAAGGAGGCATAAACCGGTTTAAGAAACATCTTGTCAGTATTAAAGGGGATGTTGCTGCTTGTAAAAATGTTTCTGAAGTTATCAAGGAGGAGATTAAGCAATTTTTAAATTATGAAAAACAAAAACAAGAACAAAATCCTTGTCATAGATCTATTTCTGCTACTCCTGGAAAAAGTGATCCGGGTTGGAAGTATGGGTACAACCCAAAACCAAATGATCAATATTGTATAAGCTGTAATTTTTGTGAAAAAGATGCCAATGGGGGTATTAACCGATTCAAAAAATACCTTGCTGGTGTTAGAGGTAATGTTGCTTCTTGTACAAAGGCTCCTAAAACAGTTCGAGATGAGATTAGATGTCTCCTGAATTTTGAAGAACCAAAAAAGGATGAAAATAAGCCTTGTTCTATGGAAGTATCTTCTCCAGTTTCTAGTCGAAGTGGTGATCCTGGTTGGAAGTATGGTTATAACCTGAATCCAAGTGATAAAAATCGTGTTAAATGTAAATATTGTGGAAAGGATACTAATGGGGCCATTTACCAGTTTAAAAAACACCTTACCGGTATGACATGGGATGTTGCCCCGTGTAAAAATGTTCCTAAGGCTACCAAGGAAGAAATTATACAATATTTGAGTTCAGAGAAGCACAAAAAAGGAGATAAAGCAGCCAAGACTCCTAGGGCCTCATCTGCACAGACTGCACATACTAGTAAGAGGAAGGTAAAATAAGAGGAGGAGGAAGGTAAAATAAGAGGAGGAGGAAGAGGTAGATTCAGAAGAAACAAAAGAGGACGAGTGTTATATTGAAGAGGGAGATGGCTCTGAGATGATGGCCTCGACTCTGATGCATATGATGAGGCTTGCCCTATTGATATTCCTTCTGATGATGATGACTGAAGACTCTTA